CGTCCTAGGATTACCACACTCTTCCCTGAACATTCAGATTCAAGGTCTTGGGTGAAGTCTAGGAACCTGTCTGTTTAACAAGCGCCATAGGTGATTCTCATGAGATGGCAAATTTGGGAAACACTGAAATAGAGGGAAGAGCCCAGATGGGAGTCAGTAAGACAGGGCTCCTGGCTGTGTGACTTCTCACAGGTCACTTGCCCTCTCTGAGGTTTGTCTCTTCATCTGTAAATAGAGATGATAATAATAAGTGCATGAGGCAGAGATGGATCACTGTCCCCCAGAGATCTGGGTACTCTGTCCATAGGATAGAGTTGTTGTTGGAAAGTGGCTCCCCCCGCCCCCAGCCAGGGACTACATTTCCCAGGTCCACTTTGCATTTAGGTGGGGCGGCCATGTGACTGAGCTGTGGCCAGTGGAATGTGGGCAGAGGTGAGGAAGGCTGCTACCCATAAAAGCCTCCTGTGATCCTCCACTCTCTCTCTTCCCACCTGCTCATTGCCTATCAATGCCCAGGCCACCTTGGAAGCCCCAAGGGAAGGGGGACAGAACTCCTCGCGTTGCAGTTACTGGACCAGGAGCAGCTGTCCCATTAGGTGGTACTTGTGCTCTCCAGTTTGCCACAGCCTCCACCACATGCTGCTGCTTCATACCTGGTTTGCCTCACATTCGTGGTACTTCTCTGACGGCTGTGGCTTCCTGAATCAGCGAGCCTCGATGTAACAGGTATAGAAGTTACATGCATTACAGCAAATTCCCGCAGGCGACTTCTAATTCCCAGGAAAACCATTTGTCCTGCCCAGAACTTGGAAGCAAAATCTGAGTGATCCTCAGAGGCAGAAGGATGTCCCCCAGCCCCACCCCACCTGTATCTGTGACCCTTTCAACACCTGTTCTACGGAAGCACAGGTACGAAGTGAAGAGAGCTCAGCCTTATCTGGGGGTCAGATAAACCTAATTCCAGCTCTGCTACTTCCTAGCTGGTGATTTGGGCCAGGTATTTCATGTTTTCTGAGTCTCCATCTCCCATCTGTCACATGTGGATATTAGTCCTCTTCCTACGGGATTTCTGTAAAGGGTCTAGCTCAAAAGGACCTGCAGACAATGTGAATTTCTTCCCCTTTTCCTGTAGTTCAAGAACCAGGACTGGCTTGCCCCCAGTAGTGATGGGGACAACAAGCAGTAAATTTTTTCCTAAAACTCTTTGAATTTTTAAAAAAGGATACAAATAGCTGGGCGTGGTAGCTCACGCCTGTAATCCCAGCACTTTGGGAGGCTGAGGTGGTAGGATCACTTGAGACCAGGAGTTCAAGACCAGCCTAGGCAACATAGCGAGACCCCATCTCTATAAAAAAAATTTAAAAATTAGCCAGGCATAGTGGTGCGTTTCTGCAGTCCCAGCTACTTGGGAGGTTGAGGCAGGAGGATCAGTTGAGCACAGGAGTTTGAGGCTGCAGTGAGCTATAATTGTGCCACTGTACTCCAACCTGGGTGATAGAGTGAGACCCAATCCCTAAAAAAATAAAATAAAAGATAAAAATAATGCATGTCTATTGTAGGCATATCAATCTGCTTGGGCTGCCATAACAAAATACCACAGATCAGATGGCTTAAACATCAGAAACTTAACGAAAGAAGTGGGGTAAAAACCTAAACCTTATTTTCTCACAGTTCTAGAAGCTGGAAGTCCAAGATCAAGGTGCCGGCAGGGTTGTTTCTGTTGAGGCCTCTCTTGCTGGTCTGTGCACAGCCACCTTCTCACTGTGTCCTCACATGGCCTTTCCTCTGTGTGTGAGGACTTCTGTGTCTCTTCCTCTGTGTATAAGCACAAGAGCCTTATTGAATTAGGGCCCCACCCGTCAACCTCATTTAGCCTGAATTACCTCCTTAAAGGCCCTATCTTCAAATATGGTCACATTAGGGGTTAGGGATTCGATATATTAATTTTGGGGAACTCAATTGAGTCCATAACAGTAGGAAAGCCAGAAACTCCAATTAAACAAAATAAACAAACAACAAAAAAACCCATTTATGAGCTTCTGTTACCCACCCCAATATACCCACATAATTGCTATTAAACTTTAGTTGACTATCTTTCTATAATTTATATATTTTAAAAATTGAATTGTACATTTATGCTAACCTGCTTTTTTTTACATTCTGAAGATTGTATTAATAATAACCTAAACGAAATAAAATTTTTAGAGCACCCTATATGTTACCTGTATTTCTTTCTTTCTTTCTTTCTTTCTTTCTTTCTTTCTGTCTGTCTTTCTTTCTTTTCTTTTCTTTCTTTCACAGAGTCTCATTCTGTTGGCCAGGTAAGTGCCATGGCGTCAGCCTAGCTCATAGCAACCTCAGACTCCTGGGCTCAAGCGATCCTCCTGCCTCAGCCTGGCAAGTAGCTGGGACTGCAGAAACGCACCACTATGCCTGGCTAATTTTTAAATTTTTTTTATAGAGATGGGGGTCTCGCTATGTTGCCTAGGCTGGTCTTGAACTCCTGGTCTCAAGTGATCCTACCACTTCAGCCTCCCTAGTAGCTGGGACTACAGGCATGTGCCACCATGCCCGGCTAATTTTTCTATTTTTAGTAGAGATGGGGACTCTATTTTGCTCAGGCTGGTCTCAAACTCCTGAGCTCAAGCGATCTTCCTGCCTCGGCCTCCCAGAGTGCTAGGATTACAGGCGTGAGCTACCTCGCCCAGCCAGTTACCTGTTTGTAAAATTCAAATGTATCATGAAATCTTCCTTCCTCATGTTTAATGAATGTAGATTATTCCAAGTTATAGATGTACTCTAATTTTTTAATCTAATCTCCTATTGTCTGGACACTCAGATGTCCCTTTTACTTGGCGTTTGTTAGCTCTTACCTTTGGGCTAATAACTTCATGCACCTGAGCATCAGTTCCCTCATTTGTATTATCAGGATAATAACAATATCTATCTCAATTAAGATAATATCTGTAAAGTGCTTAGCACGGTATCTGGCACATCGAAAACTCTCATATCTGTTATTATGGTTATTATAAATTGTACAAGCTTGTGTGCCTAGCCAATGGTTTCCATAGGATAAATTCCTAAAAAGTCAAACTCCAAGATCAAAAGGTAGGCACATCTTAAAGACTTCTGTTATAGTTTGCCAAATTTTCCTCCTGAAAGACTAGGCAAATCCACAATCTCTTATCTGAAATGGATTTTTGAATTGAGATTTGGTGGGATTTTAGGAAGGTAATATAGTGTTATAGTGTATATTATGTGACATTCCCAGTGGGGGCTGGGGCAGCACCTCCTAAACAAATACATTAATATTTCTTTAGGGAGAGTGAGATAAGTAAAGATCATAAGTAGCCTCCCTCTATCCTATGGACTGAGTACCCAGATCTCTGGGGGACAGTGATCCATCTCTGCCTCATGTACTTATTATTATCATCTCTATTTACAGATGAAGAGACAAACCTCAGAGAGGGCAAGTGACCCATGAGAAGTCACACAGCCAGGAGCCCTGTCTTACTGACTCCCATCCAGGCTCTTCCCTCTATTTCAGTGTTTCCCAAATTTGCCATCTCATGAGAATCACCTATGGTGCTTGTTAAACATACAAGATATGCCCCCGGGGGCATACATGGTTGAATTTTCCCCCAGAATGTACCATATCCTTCTTTGCAAAATTAAACAGTGAACAACAAGACACTCCGAAGAAAAAAATTCATAAAAGAGAGACAAAGAAAGTGTGCTGAACCAGGGAGGCTAATGGAGCAACTGGGACTTCATAAAAATGTAGCTCCAAGCTTCCTGGCAGCCAAGGCAAGAAGAGAAACCCATGGGCCACAAGACATTTGTTACCTAGTAGAAGGAAGGACACTGATTCTTTATGAGCCATGCTTACAGTCTGGGGGATGTGCCCAGGAGTCCCAAGTAGCATGACCAGGTCGGGGTGGGGGCTTCAAAGCTTGTCTTCCTAATACATCTATTTCCATCTACTGTCTCAGGGCCTGCTTTTGTATTTGCCCGATGGTAAATATGTTGAAACACAATATTTCAGTGAGGGAAGCATGGGTGTGTTAACTTCATGTAACTTCATGTAAAGTTCCCACAAATGTTTAGGATACACTATATGGCAGCAAAAGCTTTACAGCTTTCTGTGGGCTCATCTGATTGTGCCTTGGTCTCCTCTGGTGAAGGTGTGACCTTGGACCAATGACTCGACGTCTCTGAGCCTCACCTTCCCCATCTGGGAAAAATGATGGGGAAGAAATGAAATGAGATGGTGCCTGTAAACTGCTCTGGTCGCTAAACGCTTGCTGCACTGTTATTTATGTTACCATCCTGAACTTATGGCCAAGAGGGCAGACTCTGGAGCAAAACTGCCTGGGTTCGAATCAGCTCCACCACATATGGGCTAGATGACCTTGGACAAGGTCACTTAGCATCTTTGTGCCTCAATTTCCTTCTCTGTAAAATGAGGCCAATAGGATTATTGTGAGGGTTAAATGGGTCCATAGTTGTGAAGCCCTTAGAACAGTGCCTAGGCACACAGTAAGCACTATGTAAGTGCTTATGAAATAAATCATAGTTTGTTCCCTTCTGCCCTTGGAAGCCCTTCTGGGGAAAAGTTAGAACATTACAGTTTCAAAGTGAGATGAGATATTTCCAGACATTAATTTCTGAAAGGAATAGATCTCTATAACCCCAGTGGTCCTAAGAGGTATTTGCTTTCTCCGAGATTGAGAGGCACGAATGGGTTTATAATGGTGGAGTCTTTGGCAGGTGACCGGCCAAACATAAGCGGTTTGGGGGGCGCAACCCACTTCCTTGCGCCCTTGCAGGGAGCCTGACAGAGCCGGCTGGTGGCTTTTCTGGCGCGGGCCCGGGGCGGGCCAAGGGTGGGGGGAGGAAGGAGCTCCCGGGATCCCCTCGCCCTCCCCCCTCCTTGAGTAATGACATTCATAGGGAGGGAGGGAGGGAGAGGGGCAGGCTCGGCGAAGCCATGTGATGCTGGGCGCGAGAGCCGCGGCGCCGGAGGAGCCTCCTTCTTTCCTCCGTCCGACTGCGGGCTGTCATGGCGACCCCCAACAACCTGACCCCCACCAACTGCAGCTGGTGGCCCATCTCGGCGCTGGAGAGCGATGTGGCCAAGCCGGCCGAGGCCCCCGACGCGCCCGAGGCGGCCAGCCCCGCCCATTGGCCCAAGGAGAGCCTGGTTCTGTACCACTGGACCCAGTCCTTCAGCTCGCAGAAGGTAGAGCCCGCGGGCGCCGGCCACGGGGCGCGCGGGTGCCCGGGAGGCTTGGGGCAGGGGACCCCCAGGGCTCGAGGGGTCTGACGGCGGCCAGGGACCCGAGGGTGAAATCTGGGCTTTGGAGGGCCCGGAGGACGGGGACGCGGGGTACGAGGGCTGCTCTCCCGGGAGGTGACTGGCCCTGGCTGGGCCCCAGGAGCGCTGTGCCCCCAATTCTGGGAACATCCATTCTGCCTCCTTCCCTCCCAGGAAGACCCGGTCTGCTGGGGGACTGAGCAGAGAGACAAAGGCGAGAGGAAGGGGATGGGCACTGCTGGGAAGGCGGCCTGTTGGGGGTGCTGCGTGGAGAAGTGCTTTCTGGGGTCTGCCCCGGCAGCCCGGTCTCAGGCCCTCCCTGCACGCTGCTGTCAGGGACGCTGCAGGCCCCCGGGCCCCCTCTGCCTCTCTGGCCCGGCTGCGGCCCTTCTTCTGCTGGGGCTTTGAGGGTCTGTCCCCAGCCGTCACCTACCCCACCCCCATCTTGAGCTGAGAAGGAAGCAGTTAACCCATCCCCTCAGACCGGCTCAGCTCGGCCCATCAGATCGGTGTTTTGTTCTTAAAGACACAGAGTGGCCCCGGCCCCTTAGACCCTTCTCAGACCCAGGGGATCCGGGGGCAGTTGGAAATCCAGTCTGTTTCTGAGCTATCAGGGTTTCAGCTTCCTGGGGGTAAGGCAGTGGGCTGCGCCCGTAAGACAGGGGCGCAATTTTCCCACTCTGGGCGTCTGTCCCGACTCCGGGGCACGGCTTCAGCACCATGGCCAGGGCTAGGGCAGGGGCCTGGGAAGGCCGGAGCTGCACCTGCTGCCTGATCCTCCCACTCCTTTTCTTACTGGAAGGTCCTTTTGTTCCAATCACTCATTTCCGATGGAAAAATAGATTCCGTGGGGGAAAATGGCCTTGGAACCAAAAAGACTTGGGTTTGAGTCTTGGTCCAGGCTTAGTTTCATCGTCTGGAAAGTGGGGTAATAATAATAATAACTATTAATACTCCTATTTACAAGCCCTCCTCAGGGTTGCTGATAGGCTTGTTGGAGAGGCAGTGTAACTTAGCGCTCTAGACCAGCGCTGCTTAAACTTGAGCGTGCATTAGCATCACTGGGTGACCCTGGTTAACACACAGACTGCTGGACTCTACCCCAGAGATTGTGATTCAGGAGGTCTGGAGTGCCTCTCCAACAAGCCACCAGCTGATGCTGGGGAAGCTGGTCCACCAATCACCCTTTGAGTGTCCCAGTTTAGAATATAGATTAGATAGTCCCCAGTAGGAGAGCCATCTTCCCCACTGCTCACTGTAGAGCTTTGGACAGGTCACCTTGTCTCTCCGAAGCCTCAGTTTTATAATCTGTGAAGTGGAGCTAATGCAATAACTTCCTCATAGGGCTATTGTGAGGGTGAAATGAGATAGGATGCACAAAAAGTGCTGATAGCAGTGCCTGGCCAAGGGTCAAGGCTCAGTTAATAACTGGTGATATGGGGTTATTAAAGCTCTAGGTAGAGAAAGGGCCAGGGTTAGCCAAGGTCATACTGGGACTCATCCATACGTCCTGCACATGCTTGCTAAGCACCTACTGCATGTCAGGACTCATGCAAGGGGCTAGGGGTTGGAGATGAATCAGACCGACCTTCAGATTCTAGAACCTCTTCCCACCTGAAGCCTCAGGAATCAGACCCCAGTGGCTTAGACAAGACAGAGGGCAGGGAAGTGGCACCTCCTACAACCACACTCTGATGGAGTCTCCTGCTCTTCCCCCCGAGAATATTTTCTATTCAGCCTGAGCTCAGGGCTGAGGTGGCCCCTTAGTCAGGGATAGGACCATCCAGTGCAACCCCACTTTTGACCAAGTTTCTGCTCAAGCCAGCCTGGGCATTCTCCTGTCTCCCCGGACAGGGCCTTCCTCCTGCACAGGGGCTCCTGCTGGATTCTAGAAGCAGGTAGCCTGGCAGAAAGGGCATGGGCTCTGCGGTTCCATTCTCATCTTGGATGCTTTCTGACTGTGTGACCTTGGGCAAGTCACTTCACCTCTCCATACCTCAACATCCTCATCTGGGAAAGGGGAATTTACATCCTACCCTGCAGAATTCTTGGAGGATTTAGAGTACACAGGCATATAGTAAGTGCCTGGCATGCAGTAGGAGCTTAGCACGTGAATTTTCGTCCTTCCCTCCTGTCTGAAGGGCATTGCTGGCATGAAAGGGGCAGTCTCCCATTGTGAAGCATTCGAGAAGCCTCCCCTTACTGGCACATGGGACTATTAATAGTGGAAAATAGCCACCTCTGGGAGCAATGGTGGCTCCACTTGGCATCTGGGGACCATTCTAGACCCAGAGGGCAGCAGGACAGTGTGGGGGTCCAGGACCCAGACTCTGAGGCCAGACTGCCCGGGCTTCATCCTCAGCTGCACCACTGACCCGCTGGGTAGTCCTGCGGAAGTTCCTTAACCTCTCCTGCCTCAGTTATCCACACCTGTAAATTAGTGCCTCCCCACCAGGGTCATCGTAAGGATTCAGCAAATGCACCCACGTAAATCACCCAGAATAGCACCTGGCACATAGAAAGTGCCAGTTAAGTGCTGGTTGCTGTTATAAAGACATGGGCAGACACCAGGTCAAACTCCACTTTGCCACTTCTCAGCTATGTGACTTTGTGAAAGTGTCTTCCCCTCTCTACGTCTCAGCTTCCTCATATGTTTGGTGGTAATAGCAGTACCTATCTCGGAGGGTTGGGAAAAGTGAATGATGTCATGCACGGTCGCACTTAGCACAATGCTTGGAAAACTTACACACTGATAATGAACTTTCAGGCACCGCACAGGTGATGGTTTGGAGCCACAGGGTTTGGAAGAGGCTCTAAATGCACGGTGTAAATGTTCCTGCCCCCAGTCCCCTCCTCCTTTGCCGGGAAGAATGAGGTTGGGAGGGGCGAAAATGCAGGGCGTCAAGAGACCGAGATTCTAGTGCTGGCAGTCCCAACTGGCTGTGTGACCTGACCCTCTCTGGTCCTCAGTTCCCTCAACAGGAACAAGGGCTACATGCCCGATGCAACCTGCTTCCCTCCCTCCATCCCCAGGCAGGAAGCACTGCCCTGCCTCTCTGTGCCCCCTTCTGTCCCCACACCTGCCAGCCTTTCAAAAACCAAGATTGCTACTTCCCAGCTGTGTGACTTTGGGCAAGTTACTTACTATCTCTGTGCCTGTTTCCTCTTTTGTAAAATGAGGGTACTGGTAGGTACTAGTACCCACCTCGTTGGGTTCTGGAAGGATTAAGAGTTAATACATACAAAGCTCTTAGAACTGGGCCTCACACAGAGGAAGTGCTATGTAAGAGTTGGCTATTATTATTGCTTCTATTTCCACCAGAGAGCATCTCCAGGGCCATCCTCCTCCCTGCAGCAAGCCTGGTTCCCTTACCCCACCCCCTCAGGGTCTGCCCTGTCTTGAGCGTACCTGTGGAGAGCCCCTGGCCCAGCCTTCAGCCCCCAGGTGTACGAGACCCAGGTCTGGGGCCTGCCAGAGGCCATTCCTGACACCCAAGCGGGGCAGGATGAAGCAAGAGGTGAAGAATGGCCTCCACCTCCCGCCCTGGCCTTGCCTTTTGAACTCTTGGGCACCAGCTCCCCCGGCTTGTCCAGGCTGCGCTTGACCGCTTGCCACCTTCCCCTGCCCAAGTGGCGGCCCACAGATGCCACACCTCTTGTTACTTCTCTGCTCAGAAGCCTGCAGTGGCTCCCCGGGTCTCTCCAGGAAAAATCTAGAGTCCTCACAACGGCCTCAGGCCCTTCCACAGGGTCCTAACCTTGCTTTGGTCGGGACTGAAGTCGGAGGAAGCCTATGGGTCCTTCTCAGAACAAGGTTTTTAATTGAATAAAATCAAATGCACAGGATTTTTAGATTAGGAAGGAAGCCAATCATAGTGAAGTACAGCATTATATAATAATATATATGTTTCCGTATTAACCCCTTTATATAACACGATCTGGTGGCAGATCTGATAGCTACTGTCAAGTTGAAGTCGTGATGAGTGTGCATGATATTTTGAGGTAACTGCAACAACCGCAAAGTGATGAAAATATCTGACAATATTGCAGGCACTGCTAACACTACCGTACTTTATCGCCTACATTCCTAATGGAAGAGAATGCTAAATGTCAGTTTGAGATGACTGAAAATAAACATGTAATTTTCCCATCCGACTTCAAGGACTCCCTGAATTTACTCACGGGCCCCCTGGCCTAGGAGTGTTGATTAAAGGCCCCTGCATGTGATCTTTCTCCTTCTCTCCTCCCTGTCTGCCCTCACACCCTGCCCCGGCGACGCTTCCTCACCGCCATCCCAGCTTGTCCCATGTGCCCAGGGCCATTCCTGCTGCCTGGAGATCTGTTCCCCAGGCCCTTGTGTGGACCACTCCTGACCTTGTCCAAGCCTTTGCTCAAAGGCCACCTGCGCGAGAGGCCTGCCCTAGTGGACCACGCTCTTTAAAATCGCCTCCGTCCCCCTGGTACCCTGGGACCCGATTCCCCTTCCCTACTCTAGTTTTTCTGTTTTCTGAAGCACTCACCATCTTTTGACAGACCGAACCATTTTAACTGCTTATCATCTGTCTGTCCCCACTAACGTGTCAGTTCCCTGAGGGCTGGGATCTTCATTTTATTCACTGGCACTTAGAACAAGACCTAGCACATAGTAGGCACTTAATAAATAAGTCTCGAAAAGTGATGAATTGGTAAATATAAAATGTTATATTTAAAAAAGGTATATAAAACATACAACTGCTCTTAAAAATAAAGTCTATTAATTTTTTTAAAAGATATTTGAGACAAATAAACTGGGGTTCAGAGATGCTAAGTGTCTTTTACAAAATCACACAGCAACTAAACGGCTGGGCAGAGACACCATCCCAGCCCATCATCCAAACAAGGGCCTGGGTGAGGAGAGACAGGACCTAACCTACAACAATGAAGCACCCATGGGTGATTTTCAGGCACCCACAGGGAAGGTGGTTTACCCAGAAATGGTTGATGTCTGGTCACACCGAGTGGTGACCACTTAAGTCTGGTCCAGCCTCTAGGAGGCAGAGATGGCAGATGGCCTTGGTGACTGCATGCCCTTCCCTTGGGCTTGGCTTCCTCTCTGGGTCCCCCTCCCCCGCAGGGTGACACATGGCTCTGGCCTGCAGCTCAGCTAAAGGTGAAAGTCTCCTTGGCCACCTGCCAGGGTGACCCTGAGGCAGCTCCAAGCAAGATTATTGTACCTCTAAAGATAGTCCCCTCCCCAGACAGCAGCCACACCTGACACCTTCGCTGGAGCTCCAGCAGGGCCCGGGAGTGGCCGCTGCAAGATGGAAGGCCAAGTGTCTGGACCTGCCAAGGGCAAAGGCCTGGTTTGGTCTCTGTTTCCATCCAGTTGGAGGTCCCAGTTCAGCCCAGAGGCTGGAGGACCAAGCTGAGGCCCAAGGATGCCAGGACTGCAGGGATCAGAGAAGGCAGCCATTTGCTTCAGCCAAACTCCAGCCTCCATTCTCTGGGCTTCTCCAGGGCACAGGCCACCCACGAGCTCAAACACACACACACACACACACACGCCCTCACACACACACACACACGCTAACACATGCACACACACAAGGCCCACACTACACGTGCACACACACACACTCACACCCACATCGATGTAATACTCGAATGCTCACACTTACACATACACTCGTCTGTGCACACCACACTCACGCACACATAGACTTGCACACACACTTGCTCACTCACACACACCCAAACAGATGCCACTCCCGGGCGTGCTGCTCACTCTCTGCAACATTTCCTCCCCCTCTCTCAGACAGAACCAGCAGTTTCCTCCCACTGCCAAGGGGGCAGGCAGAGCCAGCCCTGTCTCCTGCATGGTCGTGAGTGTAGTAGTGTCAGCTCGCAGCAGGGCTGCAGGGCTCTCCGTGAACAGGGAGTCCAGCCCCCTTGTTTTGCTGATGAGAAAAAGGATGCTCAGAAAGGGCGATGATAGCTCTAAGGTCACACGGTGTTGCTGTGGCGCCTCCTAGCCTGGGGGCTCTGCGTGGGCCCCACCTATGGGACCTGCTTTTGGCTGATGGAGCAAATAAATCTGTTCAGGGGTAAATTACCTCTCACTCCTCACAGCCCACCAAACAAAAGGGGGTGTTCGTGTTAGCCGTGAGGGTGGGGCATGAAGTACTCCAGGACATCAACCAGGGGGGCAGGGCAGTCTGTGTGTGTGTGTATAATAATAGTGATATTATTAGAACCCATGTATTGCGGGACTCCATCCACATCACCCCATCTCCACCTCACAGCAGCCTTGAAGGAGTGGATTGCCTTCCTTATTTCACAGAAACTAGAAATCAGAGAGGTCAAGGGACTTGTCCAAGGTCACACAGCAAATAAGCAGTAGAGCCAGGCTTCAAGTCCAGGTCCGTCTGCCTCTAAAAGCTGGTTTAATACAAGTAGCTAAGACATATTACCCCTACTGTGTGCGAGGCACCATTCCACATGGACTAATGCATTTAATCCTTACAACAGCCCTCTGAGGAAATTGCTATAAGACTCTCATTGGACAGGAGGGGAAACTGAGGCACAAAGAAATAAAGCTACTTGTAAAGCCAAGTCATCCAGCAAGTAAGTGCTAGAGCTGGGATTTGAACTGACACAGTTCTGTCCACGACACCATGCTGCCTCTTTTGGGTGCTGAACTCCTAGTGTCTGGGAGGGAGGTTGGGGATGCCCAGTCCCGGCAGCTACCATCTCAGGTGTTTGGAGACGTTGGTGCTTGAGGAGAATGGACCTTTACCTCTCTCAGAGATGCCCTCCCTCACCCCTGGACTGGAGCCACTTGCCATCCTCTTGCCGGGGGACCTTGGACAAGCCCATCCTTCTTTCTGAGTCTCAGTCCACAGGTAGAGGGCAATTGGACTAAGTGATCTCTAACCATTTTCTAGCTCAGAAATATCGGGCTGAGTCAGGAACATGCCCCAGCCTCGAGGCTCTCTGTTAGCTTCCACCAGCTCAAATGTTTTTCTGGGACCTTCTAGAAACATAAGGAAAGACTCAGGAGGAGGCAGGCCCAGAACTACCTGGAAGGAGCCCTCAGGCCAGAGAGCACTAGTACGGGGATCAGGAACTTTGCTTCTAGTTTTAAGTCAGCTGCTGAATTGCTGTGTGACTTTGGGTAGGTTACTTGCCCTCTCTGGGCTTTAGTTTTCTCATCAAGAAAAACAGGAAAATACTCCTTGTTCTGCCCTCCTCTAGGGGGCTGTTTTGAGTATCCAACCAGGCAACCAGATGAGAAGGTGTTTGGGAGCAATAGAGGGCTTGATTGATGCTGGCAAATTAATTTTCACCACTTTGTACCCCAAATAATTTGAGAAATTTAGCTATTGATTATAATGATGACAAGAATGTGTATTTCCTGGCCAGATCCACGCCTCCCCTCGGAGGTCAGGCTGAGTGTCCAATCATGACAATGATAATCATGAATTGAGTCCCATCTGTGTACCAGACACTTGGTATCATTAATACTCCCATCGTACAAATAAGGAAACTGAGGCTCAGAAAGTTTGAGGAATTTTGCCCACACTCACACAGCCAGGAATCCGATCCCAGGTGTGCCGGCTGTGAAACCCCACAGCTTATCCACCAGGCAGCCCTTCCCCTTGTCTCCAAACAGGGCTGTGCTCCTCCCACCGCTAGGCGCATGCCCCAGGAGATACACCCCCAGCCAGAAGCCCAGTGTAGGCTGAAAGCAACGGTGTCCCCTCCCATGTGTGACCTCTGACCTCCCTTCCCGCACGCCCCACCCCACCTGGGCAGAGTGTCCCCTGTGTCCGCCCGCCTTCCCCGCTCTGACCCTGGCGCCTGCAGGTGCGGCTGGTGATCGCTGAGAAGGGCCTGGCGTGCGAGGAGCGCGACGTGAGCCTGCCGCAGAGTGAGCACAAGGAGCCCTGGTTCATGCGGCTCAACCTGGGCGAGGAGGTGCCCGTCATCATCCACCGCGACAACATCATCAGTGACTACGACCAGATCATCGACTACGTGGAGCGCACCTTCACGGGAGGTACAGCTGCCGCCACCACTCGATGCCACAGACCCCGGGGGGCCCCACGGGCTCAGACAGGGTCCCAGGGCCTCGGGGAGCCTGGGGAAATTTGCTAGGGCCATGGGCAAGGCCCAGTCTCGCTCAAAAGGAGCCACAGGGCTACAGGCAGGGCTCAGATGACCCCAGAAACCACAGAGCCGCAGGCACAGCCACAGGTCCCTGGGGACTCCAGACCCCGCCCCCCCACTGGTACTCCAGGGAAGAGGCATGGCCAGACACCCCCTAGGAGCCCTGGGGCAACAACCCCCTTCCCCAGGAACTCTGGAGTCACAGACGTGGCCACAGACCCTCAGGAGCCCCTGGGACATGAGCAGGACACAGACCCTCCTCCAGGTCCCCACAGACGGGGCCCAGATCTCCCAGGGGTCCCTGGGCAAGGACAGGGCCCAGCCCTCCCCACCACTAGGGCTAAAGACTCCCCATAGATATGGTCTCATATACCCCAGAACCCCCAGGCCCAGGCAGGGCCCAGACACCCCCAAAACCCTCTGTCCTCTCCCTCCCTCAGGCCTTCCACAGGCCAGGATCGCGCTGCCCACCGCGGAGGCTCAGACAGCCGTTGAGAGGGGATCAGGGCCCAGACGGGTACTGTTGACATAGAGTACGAGTCAGTTGCCAACACGTAGCAATCCAGGAGGCTTGCGTTTTAAGCATCCAGGTTGCCGGCTTCTCTTGAACTCCGGCAACACTGGGCCTAGACTCCCACCCGGCAACAAGTCTGCAGCCGAGAGGGGCTGCCCCCGGGGGACAGTGTGGGCCCCAGGCCTCGGGTTCAGGGGTGCTGGGGGGCGGTGGCCGAGGCAGGGCCCTCTGCTGCCCGGCCCAGCCCCTGGCGGTGCCCCGCAGAGCACGTGGTGGCCCTGATGCCTGAGGCGGGCAGCCCACAGCACGCGCGGGTGCTGCAGTACCGGGAGCTGCTGGACGCGCTGCCCATGGACGCCTACACGCACGGCTGCATCCTGCACCCCGAGCTCACCACCGACTCCATGATCCCCAAGTACGCCACGGCCGAGATCCGCAGTGAGTGCCCAGTGGCCGGGAGAGCCCCTTCCCTGGCGCCCGCATGGCACCCTCCTCTCTTCCATGGGAGTCCTCCCTCCTTTCCCTCCTGCTCCCTCTCCTGTCATCCCCTTCTTCCTCCTGTCCCTCTTGCCTTCTCTGAGTGTCCTGCCTCTCTCTGTGTGCCTGGGGGTTCTGTCTGACTTTGGACACTTCTGTCTCTCTCTCTCCCTCTCTGTCCCTTGCTTGCTTTCTCTCCCCTTTTTCTCTCTGGCCTCCCATCTTGTTCGCCCTGTTTCTAACTGAATATGTCTCTCTCCCTCTCTGCCAGTCTCTCTCTCATTCCCCTCCCCACCCCCTACTCTTGTCTTGCCCTCCCGTATAAGACTATGGGGCTGTCTGTCCCTGCCAGGCTTGTTTTGTCCAGTGGGAGCTGGGGAACCTCCCCACGGGAGTCCCAGCTGCAGACACTTGGGTCAGGGCCCTGGGAGGGGCACCAACAGTCAGGGCTGTGGTTGGTGGCCAAGGGTACTGAGTGACCCCGGGGTTGGGGTTACCAAGGAAGGATGTCCAGACGTGGCAAGACCCCCAGTGGGGTCTCTGATTTCTGATTCAAGGTCACCCATGCACTGTCCTAACCGCCAGCCTGGACACGCCCATAGCCTGGTCCGTCCTTTTGTATCCTGTGCCAGTGAATGGGCGTTGGGTTAAATGAGATAAGTCACCCACAGCTGTTTACGGACTTGGGTCCAGGCTCGGCACAGTCACCGTGGAGTCCTACAGCCGGAAGAGACGTGAAAGGTGCTCAGCAAATGGTCACCTCCTCCCTCTCGAAGGAATGAGGCAGATGTTCAAAGGCAGGGAGGGGGGTCAGGTTGTGGAACTCAGCCCTGTCCCTTTAGAATTCCATTGAACAAGACCCAGGAATTACCTGGACTGTCCTGCTACCAATATCAGCCCTGCCAACAACATTTGGGAGGCCCTGGACAGGGGGCTTGGGGACAGATGGGCTAGACACAGCTTCTACCATGCCAGGGTTACAGTTCTGTGGAAGCAAAGACAAGTAACCAGATAACTGCAGGGCAGGACTGCCTAAACCTGAGCAAGCTCTTGGGAGGGCTGTGTGGCGTCCTATGTCAAACATAAAAAGGTCCACACCTTGGAGACTGCGCTGCAGTTACACTTGGATGTGTGCACCAAGAAGAATGTGCAAAGGTATTCACTGCAGCATAGCTGGTAACAGCAAGAAACATCACTGGAAATAATCCATGAGTTAGGAACTGGGCGAATAAGCTATGGGTACTTCCATACGGTGGAATCCTGTATAGATGTTCAAAAATATAACGGGCATTCGGAATGTTCTCTTAAGATACGTTAGTGAGTAGAAAAATGTGAAGGGCAAAAAACCCACCCCTTCTAGGGTGCTATCATTAATGTACTTAAACGGGGGTAAAGTGGATACACAGGTGCTTATAGTGCAAGGAGTGTTTCTAGAAGGATGCACAAGAAGCTGCCAATAGTGTTTGACTTCAGAGAACAGAACTAAGAGACTGCAGGTAGAGAGGGGAGAGATTTGCTTTTGTTGCATATTCTCCAATATTATTTGAGTTTTTAACAAGTGTACCTGTATGAGCTGTGCAAAAATAAGTTAGTTAAAACTTTTTAAACCTAGTACCAATCGGCTACGATCAGGGGAGCAGGGAGGCTGTGGGACCAGAGATGATGCCCACGCCAGCTGCTGGGGTCAGGGAAGGCTCCGGAAACGCAGCAGCAACCGTGGCTGAGTAGCAGGTGGAGGGGGAAGGAGAGGGAGAATCATTCCAGGTTGTGGGGTAGGACAGGCGTGGTGTGTTTGGGAGACTGAAGGAAGTTCAGTGTGGTTGAAGTGTAGCCCCAGGAGGGTGGGAGGGGCCCTGGGGTGAGTCTGGGGAGGAAGTCTGGCAGAATCGGGATTTTATATAGGAAACAGTGGAGAAACAGTGATGGGAAGTGACTAGATCAGATCTGCATTTTACAAAGATCATTCCCCTGGGGGAAGAATGGACGGGCAGTTAGGGAGTCCTGACTGTTCCACAGGTGAGCAATATTGGGGACCTGGCTGAGGACGGAGACAGTCTCTGAGTGCTCCTGGGGGTGCTCCCCCAATCCTATCCTGAGCTGTTGGAAGATGCTTAGAAAGCAGTGAGTCCAGAGCAGTCCCGGCAGGCTCCCTCCCTCTTCCCTCCCTCCATGAAGGCAGAGGGGACCTCAGGGCTCTAGCCCAGCTGGGGGAGGGGCAGAGGACTCACAGGTGCAGGAGGAGCAGAAGCCAGGCTGCAGCAACCCCCACCCCCAATCAGTCTGGGGTCTTCTCTCCGCCTGGCCTGCCCTCCTGCAGTTTAAAGAGAGCCACATGGGCAGCCCCAGGTGGCAGGAAGGAGAGAAGATGCTGTCCTCGACCTTCACATTAATAAAACATCAATCAGACTTATTATAGCCCCAAAGCTGAAGGAGCTGCGAGTGCGTTTACGGAGGTTTATATGAGGCCAGGCGATGGGGTGGTGGGTGATGAAATCTCGAGGACGGAGCTCAACAAGTGCAGTCGCTCATCACTCACGCATTCCATTCGTTCCTTTGTTCCTTCATTCAACGCTCACCGAGCTGCTGCTCTGTGCCAGGCCTGGGAACAGAGACGAATCTGTCATAGCCTCTGCTCTCCAGAAGCTCAAGTTCTAGTGAGAGACATATACATCCAGAGATCACTACATTAGCATCAAAATCTCCGTGTATAGCAAGTAGTACAGGTTGTGCACTGCACAAGTCCAGGGGGACACTGGTCACATAAACTACCAGGTTGATGGAGTTGTGCCATGGCAGCTCTGCTTCGTGTGTTTGCATTCCCTGGCAGTGTACACCGGGAAACAAAGGTGTAAGTGGCCAGACCTCCTAGAGCTGCGGTCCTCAACCCCCAGGCCATGGCCTGGCACCAGACTGTGGCCTGTTAGGAAACGGGCCACGCATCACTGCCTGAGCTCTGCACCCCGCTCCCGGCACCCACAACCCCCCCCCACCCCCAGTCTGTGGAAAAAACGTCTTCCATGAAATAGGTCCCTGGTGCCAAAAAGGTTGGGGGCCGCAGTCCGAGAGGATCAGGCAGGGCTTCATGAAGGAGGTGACCTTCAGCAGGATCTAGAAGGAGGATTTCGGGAGAAGAGGATAAGGCTATTCCAGGAGGTAGAAGTAGTGTGAGCAAAAGCCCAGAGGTTTGGGACAGTCTGGTACATTCTGGGGACAGCAAGCATTTGGAGTGGCTGAAATGTACCCTCCGGGGACAGGGACGCTTGGGGAAACTCAGTGAAGGATGAAGGAGGTGAGCCGGGGAGGAAGTGGATCCCGCGGGCTCTCCTAAGGCAGTTGAGGAGCTGGAACATTATCCCAGGGCAGCGAGGAGCCAGGGTGGGCTCTGAGCAGGGAGTGGCATGGCCACTTGTGTGACTGAGGAACTGTCTGTCTGGCAGACGGGGAGAAGGGCTTGCAAGGGAGAGAGGGGAAGAGAGAGCTGGAACTGACATGGGGGAGGTTTAAGGTGAGAAAACATGAGAAAGGTGGAGAAGGAAGAATCCACAGGCCAGGAGATTGGTTTGCTGTGGGCAGGAGGGAGAGGGGGGAGCTGAGGACAAATCCTAGGCATTGGGCGTGGCTTTGGTCGGGGGAGGTGCTGCAGTTTGGGAGGATGCAGCAGAAGCAGGTGTGGGAGGGAAGATGGTGAGGCCCAGAGCCTGGGTCCTGCCCATTTCTGGCATCTCCTACCCCTCCTCCTGGGTCCCTCCCCATTACGTTCATTCTTCATTACAGACCGGTCATGCCGTGTCACAGGGATTGCTGTATGTGCCCATCTCTCGCACTAACCTGAGCCCAGGGCAGGACGGCGTCTCACCCATCCCCGTGCTGCCACCTGCAGCGCTCCCTACGTGCTGACTGTTGATGTTGTCACTTCTCTGACCACTGTTTGGCTGGGACCTACTTCCAGTTGTGTGAGGGAAGTGACGGGGGAGGCAGTGCTAGAGGGATGGGACCTTTGCTGTTCTCTCCCCAGGACATTTAGCCAACGCCACCACGGACCTCATGAAGTTGGACCACGAAGAGGAGCCCCAGCTCTCCGAGCCCTACCTTTCTAAACAGAAGAAGCTCATGGTGAGGCCCCTAGGCCTGCTGACTCCCCTCGCCCACCATCTCTTCCATGGGAATGAACTGGGAGAAGCTGGTTCTAAGTAGAGGATCAGCGATGATAAGAAGTGGAAAAACCACTGGCTTGCTTTTCCTACCCTGCCTCCTCTGCCGCTTACTGGCTGTTCGGCCCTGGGCAAGCCACTGCTGCGCTGGGACCTCGGTTTCCTCATGTGTTAGGTTGTGTCCCTAAAAGCAGAGCACTGAACAGAGGTTCTTGGGGGTACCGAGAGAGTGCTCAGAGGGGAACCCAGGAAGGATGGGCGGGACGGGAAGAGGAAGCAGCCAAGCCTCATCTGACCCCCAAGAAGCTCTGGAGCATAAATGGCACCACAATGTTGGTCAGCCTTGAGACAAGGGGGCAGCCTGTTATACTCCCATATCAGTCCGTCATTGGCTACAGATTGCTGGGAGGCGGGGTAACGTCCTGAGTATTTCTGAGCCAGGCAGTTCCCTATTGGCTGAGAGCAATTCTTGGAGAAGGGGTAGCTGTGAGTCACTAGCAACCAAGCTCCCAGTGGCTGGGTGTGTAAGTGCACCAGCTCCGTGAAAGTGATCCAGGCAGGACAGCCAATCTCACAGGAGTGTTGCAAGCACCAGATGAAGGGGCGTCCTGTACACTGGGGGATATTTGGAGGCTGGGTTTGCAGAAGGAGGGTTAGCAAAGCTCCTTCCATCCCCGGACATCCTGGCTCTAGTGAGGCCAACTCAGCTTCTCTGGCTCTGGCCTGCCCCCAGGCCAAGATCTTGGAGCATGACGATGTGAGCTACCTGAAGAAGATCCTCGGGGAGCTGGCCATGGTGCTGGACCAGATCGAGGCCGAACTGGAGAAGAGAAAGCTGGAGAACGAAGGTGGGTGCCAGCCCTGGGGGGAGGTGAGGTTGGCAGCCCACGCACCCCACCCTGCCCCTGCTCAGTCCCAGCCTTGTTTTTCCCCAAAGATCTCAGAGGACCTCCCAAGTGGTTAGGATCATGGGCTATGGAGTCAGATAGATCTGGGTTCAAGTCCCAGCTTGGCCACTTACTAGCTGAGTAACCATGGGTCAGGTGCTCACCTCTCCGGACCTCAGTTTCCCATCTATAAAATGGGAAGAATAATAATAAGACCTGCCTCAGAGAGCTGTTGAGACACCACGTGAGATAACACGCGTAGTGTGTTTCGATCAGGGCTTAGCACATAGTAGGTGTTTAATAAAGGTTGGTGAAGATGATGATGGTGGTGGTGGTGGTGACCGCTGCCCACCATACCACCTCACCTGCCCTGCTCCAGAATGTATTATGGCTCCTTCATCTGCAGCCAAACATCCAAGCTCACTCGGACTCTCCGACCTTGACCCTTCCCGCTCCCAGGTGGGTCTCCGGACCCTGACATGCCAGCTTCGTTCCCACCTCCGCACCTTTGGTCCTGCAACCTCTCCCTCCTGGAGTCATCTCCCCGCACTACTCTGCTCCGTTCTGCCTGTTGCACACCATCTTTGCCACAGCCCTTCTTCTAACCTCATTCTGGACCATTCCGTCTTGCTCTGTTTTAGGAGACTTGTTGGTCTTGTCTCCTGACAATGCAACTGTATGGAGCCCATGCAGTATGCACTGCTGCACTTGCAGCTTCCCGCACACACATGTCTACGCAAGTGGGAGGGCCGTAGAGCCCAGGGTTAGAGTTGAACGGATTGGAGTTAGAGTTCCAGCTTTGAGGCCTGGACTACGTGACCTTGGACAAGTCACTTTCCCTATTGGAGCCTCAGTTTCCTTGTCTGTAAAAGTGAGATGGTAACAATACACCTTAAAACCTTAACCTCATCTTGCTGGACTCTTGTGAAAATTAAAAGCACTCAGCACAGGGCTGGCACATTACTAGTTTAACACACATGACAGCTAAAAGCATGCACATTCTGTAGATGAGAAAACTGAGGCTCAGAGACATGACATGCTTTGCTCAAGTTTACACAGCTCACGAGTGGCCTGGTTAGGGCAAGAACAGGTTCCTTCTCCATGAGTCCAGTGTTCTTTCCCGCTTCTCACAACCAATGCCACAAGCACAAGACACACGCAGACACCTCACGTCCTGAGCAGGGACAATCATCATGCATACTGACGCCAGCTGCCTTAAATCCTTTCTGGGAGAAAGCATGGGATGACTAAGAGAGTAAAAAATAATACCCACCTCAAGGAGGGACTTTCCTGATTCTATCAGAGGCAGGGCCACAGGGGAAGGATTATAGGAGAGCTCTCAGGGGCCAAATGCGAAGTGGTTCTGAGACTGGTTTGGGGGTCAGACAGAGTCCCAGCTCTGCCATTCTCTCACTGGGTGACCTTGAATTTCAGGTACATGTTATTTATTTATGCAGTAGTTTGTTAGGGCTGCCATAACAAAATGCCCAAGATGGGATGGCTTAAATAGCAGAAATCTATTATCTCACAGTTCCAGAGGCTAGATGTCCAAGGTCAAGGTGCTGGTGGGGTCGGTTTCTCCTGAGGCTTCTCTCCCTGGCTTGCAGGTGGCCGCCTTCTTGCTGTGTCCTCACACGGCCTTTCCTCTGTGCTGCACACCCCTGCTGCCTTTGCATGTCCAAATTTCCTCTTATAAGTGCATCAGTCACATTGAATTATGGCTCATGCTAAGATCCTCATTTTACCTCAATCATCCCTTTAAAGGTCCTGTCTCCAAATACTGTCACATTCTGAGATACTGGGGCTTACGGATTCAACACGTGAATTTGGGGAGCGATGCAACTCAGCCCATAAAAATTTATATATTTAACAACACTTACTGTGTGTTAGGTACCGTTCTAAGTGTTTCACAGATTTCAACTCACTTAATCCCCATAACAACTCTAGGAAGTCAGTAATATTAGTGATCCTATTTAACGGATGAGGAACCTAAGGCACAGGAAGGTTTAGTAACTTTCCCAAGGTCACACAGATAGAAGTGGCAGAGCCTGGCTTTGAACACACACTCGTGGGGGGATTTCCAGACTGGGAGGGACCAAATGCTAACTCTTGACCTGAGATCTTCCGAGAGGAGGCTGAGAGGAAGCTGCATTGCATGGTCCCATGGTGAGATGATGGGTTGTTCAAGATGGGGAGGCATCAATAGTCCTATGTCCCGCCGGGGTGGGGATGGGGGAAGCAGATGCCCCAGGAAGGTGGCTATGTGTTTAAAGACCTGGCTGGGCCCACATGGCCTCTGTTACTCGTTCACCCACGAGGGTGCCCCTGAACCTGCCTGGGGTGGGGGTGCTCACACCCTCCACACTCCCCTTGTGGGCAGAATGCAGGGAGGGAGGTATTATAATGTCACAGTTAGGAGCTCTTGCACAGAACCAGATGATATTGATGCACATTCCTGTTCAAAAAGTGAACAATAATAGAATCTAACTCATAGCGAGGTTATGAGGATTCAGGAAGATAGTAAGTGCTGAGCACTTTGCATAGTGCCAGGCTCAAGGGAAAATGTTCTAGAAATAGCAGTTTTAAAAATAATTATTATTGCCATTCTTTCTCATTCATTTATTCAAATATTTATCAAACACCTACTATGTGCAAGGCCCTAGGGATAAGATTATGAGCAAGAACTGACACCGTTCTTGCTCTCATGGAGTTTACAGTCTTGGAGAGGACAAAGACACTAGTCAGGTAATCCCATAAGTAAACGCAGACTTACCAACAGCGGTAAGTGTCAGGACTGAGAATACATGAGCAGGACAAATTGGACAAAGTTTCTCTGAGGAGGTGACATTCAGAGTGAGCCCTGATGGATGAGAAGGAGCCCAGAGGAGAGCAGGGATGTGCGTCCCAGCCTGAGGGATGCCCGGTGGAGGGAGAGGACCGGGGACTCTCAGGTGTCAGGCGACTGCCGGCGAGAGTGCCGTGAGTGAGGCTGGAGGGAGTGAGAGAGGACGAGGTGAGGTCTTGGGCCCCAGAGCCTATATTCACATGTTTAGATTTTATACTGAGGACAATGGGAACCTTTAGGAGGGTTTTGAGCAAGGGATTGTATCAGTCAGCTTTTGCTGCGTAACAAACCACTGCAAATCTGAGTGACTTACCAGAAGAACCTTTTATTTGCTCCTGTTTTGGGTCCTGGCAGCATGGGCTGGGCTCAGCCGGGGTGGCACGCCTCTGTCCCACAGGGGGATGGCTGACTTCACTCCTGCCTTTGTGGCCAGTGGGCAGTCGGTGGCCTCACTGGCTTGCCTGTGGTCGGCTGGTCGTCCGCTGGGCCAGGGGAGGTACCTGCAGGCTGACCCGGCCTCGTCTGTGGAGTGGTGGATGCAGGGTTACCACGAGCAGCAAGAGAGCAAAGTTCCGATGTGCAAACCCTCCTCGAGCCTCTGCTTGTGTCATGCTTACTGAAGTCCCATGGGCTAAAGCAAGTGACGCGGCAAAGCCCAGATTAAAGGGGTGGGGATTTAGATGCCACCTCTTGGTGGCTGGAGCAGCAAAGCCACTCTACAAAGAGGCAGCGGCGTGCATACAGGGATGGGAGGGGCTTGTGGCCATTGTCGCAGTCTACACGAGGGTCAGGTGTTCCAAGCCTGTGTTTAAGAGCACAAGATATAGCCCTTATTCAACTTGGCTCCACTGGAGGGAGGGGTCTACCAAGTAATTTGCCGTGTACTTTAAAATTACCACACCTGCCCTGGGGCTCCCCCATGGGGAGGGCAGTTGCAGGCAGAGGAGTCGGCAAAGTGACCGAGGAGTGGCCAGTGAGGTGGGAGGACCCTCTTGTCATCGGAGCCAAGAAAGGATTGTGTCTAAAGGAGGCAGAACGGTGTCCGATGCTGCTGAGAAACCGAGCACACCAGGACGGGAAGCGTCCACGGGGTTCTGTGCCATGGCTGTGGGTGGTGGTGACCTCGCCAAGGGCAGCTTCAGTGGGATGTGGGGCAAAAGCCAGACTGGAGTGGGCTGAAGAGAGAATGGCAGGCGAGCAGCGAAGACGGTGAGTGTAGACGCTTCTTTTGAGAAGTGTGGCTGGAGAGGGGAACAGAGGGGTGTGGTGGCCGAGGAAGGATGCGGGGCACAGGGAGGAGCTGTTTTAAGGCGGGAGATGCGCAAGTGTGTTCTCTGCTGGTAGAAACCGCGTTGGAAAGGTGGCATTGATGATGCCAGACGGCGGTGCAAAGCCCCTGGAGACCAGACGCACGGCTCAGGTTCAGGCCGTCCCCGGGGAACACAGAGGGCACCTGCAGACTGGGCGACCTGCAGAGGGCCCAATAAAGGGACCATTTACAAAGGTGTGGGCAGGATGCGGGGACTCCACAGGGCAAAGAGCAGTGCTTGGGCCTGGGGGCGCAGTCCTGAGGCCATGGGAGCAGATTCAGGAGCCTGGGCAGAGGCTGTGTGGGGAAGGCCACCGATAGGGGCTGCGACTTTCAGCCTCGGGACACCGCCAGCCAGTGCTGACCTGCAGAGGGGAACCATGGGCAGTAAGCCTGACCTTATCCTCGCCCGCCCTCTGCCCCTGCCTCTGCTTAACACCAGGAGCCAGAGGGCAGGAGCCCGGGCTATACACACCAAGCCGGCCTCCCGGGGCACAGAACAGGTGCAGAGGCGGGGAGAGAGTCTGCAAAGGCAAACTGAGTAGATGCGGCACAGGACGGTGCAGGGGGCCCGCCGAGGGACTGGTCCGGGGAGCAGGACAGGCCGCCACTGTATCTGCGTGAGCGGGAGGTGGAAGGCAGAGGCATGAGCCTGCAGCTCTCGGGGGCTTCGTGGTGGGGTGCGGGGGCTTTCACGTCTGAAGGATGATGTCTTCTGAGGGAGCTGGGGGAAGAGTTGCGAGAGGTGTGAGGAGAGAAGATGGGAAGATACGCCGCTGTCTCGCAGGGAGCGGGGAAGCCAGCTTA